TCCTAATCTGTGCCCCCTTTGTTGTGATTCCTTTCCCTTCTCACTGGGTGGGGGGAGTGAGTGCAGGACAGTGCATGGTCTACCTGTGGTTTAAACCACCACACATGTCGTGCTAGAAAGCTATACTCTTTCAACCTTCTTAGAAAAAGACTGGACAAAACATTCCCATTGGATGTTGTATTTTAAACAGAAAATTGCTTTTGCATCTAAACAAAGGTGTTTATTTTTGATAGAAACTATAAATTATGTAATTTATTCTGTCAAAAAGTAAGCATGTGAAATCTATTTGTGAATGCTCTTACAGAGGCACAAGGACTTGTGTTTTGACTAATTTATATTTCTCTTCTCTATTGCACAGCTTGAGCTCCTCCACTAGATCTCCTGTGAACTGTTGGCTCCACAGCCACCAAACTGACCCATACTATTGCATCTCTTCAAGAGTTATGACTGCACAGCAAAGAGAAGATATTCTGCAAACTATACACCAGCCCAAGGAGGAAACTACAATCTATAGGTCCCTGCTGCATTATTCCAATGGCACAGCATGCAGCATTTCCCAATTAAAATAGTCAACATTTCTGGGTTTTTGAAGTGTTTGTAAAACAAAAAATTCAGCAGAAAATTTAGATTTAATGTCTTCTTTTTTTTTTTTCACTGAAATTATAAAACAGAGCCCTCTCTTGTCTGCTCTTATCTTCACTTAAAACATGTCACTTTTTTTTCCTCATGCTCTTCCTTAGTAACTTAAAGTGTTTGAACAGATCAATGCACTGTGCTGCAACACAGCCCTAAGATGCTGAGGATGTTTAATTTAATTTCTACCCTACAGACAGGCACAAGCCCTATTATTTGTCTCATCCTGTTTGTAATCACCAGTTCCAGACTCTTTTCCCCTGACTGACAGGATAACATAAAGGCTGAGTTGAAGATACAGAGGCAGCTCATCTTCTGGCTGCAACTGGACCCCTACAAGACTCTTTAGATATATTTAGGAGGTAAATTCCTTGTCCTTCTGTTTATGGCTCTGTCCCTACCTTCTGGCATCTGGTCTCTTTCCCACAGGTGACCTGTTCAGATAGAACTAATAATACCGAGTGACACATTTCTAAAGGCACCCAACAGCTTTTTCTCACAGGGCACAAATATCCAGAAAATGTTTCCCACCCACTCCAGGCAGAGAAAGCATGGAAAAACCAGCAGCCAATTGCCAACTATAGAACTCTTTTTACTTGTGAGTCTCTAGAGCAATTTCCTATGGCTGGGCTGCGCAAAGTATTGTCTGTGCAGATAACAGAGCCTATGATGGGCAACACTGCAGCTCAGAGGTACTGCGCTCTGCGTGAAGGGGCTACCAAGGGAAAATCTGCAGTTCTTAGAAGGCAATGACTCACCACAGCCATAAGCAGAGGTCATCCTATCAACTGTATATACCAAGCTATATACTTTGCAGAATGTACATCTCCATAAAAAAAAAATAAAAGGTGTTTGAAAACAGCTCTATCTTCTGCTAGGAGTTACTTTTAGGAATTGGACAAGTTCTCTTAACAGCTTTTGGATGGCTGCAGTCCGGACTTCCTACCCTACATGATTTAGGCTCATAATTTAATTTAATGTTTCTCATATATTCTAGTTCCAGAGTGAGGTTATTTTTATTAACCTCTTCTACTTTGGAAGACATGGCAAGATTTGTCTGTGCTAAGAAAACCAGTGACTTACACCTCAAAATCCTGAGGGTAAGAATGAATTGAAATTGAAAGCCCAGAGGATATGAGAGAACAAAAAGGATACAAGAGCAAAACTGGCCTTACAAGCATTTAAGTACCTACACTTTAAATCACCAGATGAAAGGTACTTTTCTATAAAACAAAAATACAGGTTCTAGCAGCCTGAAGTACTAAAACCTAGCCATTCACAGTCTAAGAAAAGGTAAAAATGAAATAAATATTTATTGGTGAACCTTCCTCTACTTACACTGAAATATTTTCACTGAAATAGGTTTGCTCCTTTAAAAGGAAAAAAAGCTACAAATTTTAACCAAATTATATTCAGAAAGTGTTATTTAAAGTAAGTTTAACCTGAAATCCTTATATTTTCAATTTAACTTAAAAGCCATGCAGATCTTGGAGCAGCAAACTAAAGCAGATAACAGTAATACAAAACTCCATATTTAAAAAAACCCACGTGGATATCTGCAGAGCAAGTACCTTTGTGCATCAGCTCTAAAAATGTAACTATAAAGAAAAAATCAGGTTGCTGATTGTATAGGCACAAACGTATATGTGTGTGTGTATGTATGTACATTTACACTGAGAAAGTAGTCAGGCTACAATAGCTAACTCTCAGAGCTGGACTCCACTGATGTAGAATTTGCCAGGCTGAGCATTAATTTAAATCATTTTGCACCTATACAAAACTGATCAGACTTACTAAGGAGCCACATAAACATGATAAATATGTGGGGGGTGCTGCGGGCTCATGGGCAAGAACTGCCACTTTCCAGAGTGGACCTGTGTTTAACAAACCATTTCCTCGGGGAAGCAGGTCTTGTGCCTACCTTTCGCAAAGGTTTCAGCTTTGTCTCCATGATGAACTCATACTTGCACAGTTCACAGCATCGTGTGTCTGAGCTCTTGATCCATTGCTGCAGGCAGGCTTGGTGCACAAAATGAAGACTTCCTGTGCAGTGACAGGGGGTAATCAAAGGGCTCTCATCATCTCCTTCACAGTGACATATCCTGAATCAGAAGCAAAGCTGCTCATTAGGTGAAGAGGAAGCAGAAAGGATGTGGAAGAGGCATGTAAGACCTATGATCACATACAGTTGTCCATTGAGGATCCTGAGACATACATATCAAAGGAATGTGTTCCATAAAGGAGCTAAAACTAAAGAACTCCTTTGCTGCATAAGCACATACACAGTACAAAATAATTGAGCACAGACGCTGCTAACTAGACAGCTGCTTTCTAGCAGATGAGGTGGACACACACAGCCTGACAGAAACGCAGTATCCAAAAGAAAAAACGGGGTAAGAAATGACAACACTTCATCTAGAAAAATAGCGTTTAACTGAAAATGCCATTTAAACAGATCAGAAAGCACTTCCCAAGACAAAATACACACAGAGAAGTACAGCTACTCATGGATTATGATCTGGAATAGAAGATAAAACAAAATTCCCAAACCAGTGGTGAAACAGCCCACCCCAGTACCATGAAGAGTTAATTTAGACAGCCTGGATTCTGCACAAGAGAAATGATTCTTTCTAGTGCCAAGCGCTAAGAGATCCACACTGCAAAGCTGCAGCACTGAATCTCCCCAAAATACACCTTCTCTAAACAGACTAATGGTTTTGCTATCCAATTCTTACTTTGCAAGAGCTGTTAAGGAAGCATCAGCTCTGCAAAATTCCCCATTTCCCTCACAGCCTAACTGTGCAGACAGCAAGGACACCCGATATAGCGTTACTACCGGGTGCTGGCATTAGATTTCCAGCTTCAATTTATACATAACCCTTGGGTTGCATCAAACATCACTAAGTCCTTCTAACCACGTGGAAGAGGTAATGAATTGAAAGGGGGATGGTAAGGAGCTCAGGGAATGGATATAAGTTACTAAGCATCTGTGAAGTATACCCTGGCATGCTGCCATCCCTGTCTATTACTGAAATCTCTTACTGATGTGTAGCATCTTGCCTCTTGCGACCTTGCTGATAGCTGGCAAGTGGAAATGAAGGAGTGGGTGGATCACAAGAGCGTCTTGTTGATGACAAGCCAGTATGGAAGTAGATTTTGCTGGTAATGACAGGGGGGAAATCCAGTAATACTGGCAAGTAGTAACAAAGCCAGCTTCAGAAAGTGCTGTCTGGGAGGAGAAAAATTAGGACAGGAAAATGCTAGGTAGAGGGATGGGACATTTTCTCCTGTACTTGGTGACTCCTGCTCCTCCGCTACATTTTGGAGCTGGGATGGGGCAGACCTGCAGACAAATCACCATGAGGACAGTCCAGAGCTGGCTGTTCCCACCACCTATGCATATGATTAATCCTCTGTAGTTGGAATAACGACACCCATCCTTTTTTGGATCTCACACTTTAGACATCACACAGGCCCACCACTAACATCCAGAGCTCAGATCTTCCTTTCAACTAAGGCATCCAGAAAGCCCTTTACAAATAAGAGTGTGGTGGGATACAAACTGTGAGGAAAAGATGAAAAGAAAAAACCTTAACCTATATTGACCTGATCTCAGAAGCACTGTTCAAAAATAGCCTCTTCTCCTGACTCCCCACCCTCTGACCCAAACCAGCAGTGACTGTCAAGAGAATACATTGCTCATTAAAAGCTAAGATATGTTCAGCTTGGCCTTTAATATGCGTAGCTGATTCTCTCATGATATTCTCAGTTTGGGCACTGATAAATAAAAAACAGCACCTCAGAACCCCAAACTTGAAACAAATTACAAGATAATTTATTTGACTCCAAAGGAAATTCTTTTGCTTAGTAGCCTTGTTAAGTGCATCAGAGGGACACAGGACAGTGGAGAGAAGGCTGCATGCTTCAAATCACACATATTAAAGCAAGGTGGCAGGGTGAAAGAAAAGACAGAAACGGCACAAAGGCAGGAGAAAGCAGAACGGTCACCACCGCACATGGGAGGGCTCGAAGGTAGGTGGCTCTCTGGTAAACCAACCTGCAGGTATCCCCCGATGTGGACACAGGGGAGAGAGGGGGGAATTTTTCTGAGAGGGGGGAAGGGCAGTCAAGGTCACTGTCCTTCTCAACTGAACAGAGTGGTGCCCGCTGCTCTTTTGTTTTCAATTTCACTGAGGCGCTGTCCTCAAAGACGTCATCATCTCCCATATCATCAGAGCAAAAGTCCGTGCTTTCCACCAGCACGCTGGAGGATTTCTCAGCTTGGAAGTGACTGGAATAGCTCTCCAGTTCGAGGAATTTATGCAGGCTGTTGGTGCTGGAGGTGTGGGAGAAGGAAAAAAGGTAACGCAACAGTTTTTTGCTCCTTGAGTTGTCATGGTCCACTTTGTCCTCCAGCAAGGGGATATGTACAGCACTGTTCTCTGCTTCTCCAGATGCACTCGAGTAGTTGGAAAGGGAAGGGATGTAGGAGTGCTTAGAATTGCTAAAAGAAAGAGGTCTGAGATTCAGCGGTTTCCTCTCTTTAAGATGAAATTTGTTAATCCTTAAACACTGCTCTTGAGTCGGGGTCAATTTGCTTTCTGAGCGTGTTCGCTCCACATAGTCAAAGCACTCACTGGTGCTCTGCGTCTTCTGGTCCACGTCATTGAGGGACTTGGAGAATTTCAGAGTGCGGGTGGGCTTTACATTCTTAGCAGACCTGAGTGCCTGGCCCCGATCCTGCCCACGGGAGTTTCTCTTTGCTGCATGTAAAGTGTCCTGACAGATTACTGTCACAGTGACCCCTTGGGTCAGAGGGCTCTGGCAGTGAGGATTTTTCAAGACAACAGCAGACTGCACTGGACTGTGATGACAACACTCAGAAAACACTGCACTGGAACTGCATGCAGAACAGTGGAATAAAAGCACAGAAAGTAAAAAACAATTACATAAGAGAACACTTATAATTAAAAGTGAAGAAATGAGAATTACAGCTAGTGTGGGAATGGCAAACATAGCAGGGCCAAATGGTCAGTGGGATTCAACAAAGCAGTGTTAAGACAGCAGTTGAGTCAAACAAATGGGATGCTTCGTACAGGATCCCCACATCGCTTATTTCCCCACGCAGGTGCTTTTTCAGTTTTGTTTCCTCTTAATTTCAACCTCACAAAAGCCTGACTGTAGACATGCAAACAACACACTTTACCTGCAGATGTCCTGGTTGGATGGTGTAACAGAAGTCCGAGAGAAGCTATGAGGGGCAGAGATGGAGGTTGGACTTCCAGCCTGAAGTGAAATTAAAACAAAGAAATAAAAAAAAAGCAAGTCACAAACAAGAAAGGTGTGGTATGCACAGCAATCGCCTTCAGGGTTAAACACAGAATACGGAGTCAGGTATCACTCTACATCAGATATTTAAGGGCTAGTTGCAAGAAAGTGGCTTCACTGTCAAATGCTAAAAAGGGAGGTCACATAGCCTCATCCCTGGACAAGTAGTGATCAGAACAGAAACGTTTTCTCCCAAGGTCAAATGCAGCCATCTCTGGAGCGGAACCTGCCAGCTGTCATACATTGCACAGAACAATAACTCAGGAAATGAGCAATGCTACAGTGATTAGAATAATTAGATGGAGGTGTGTGTATAGATTAGTTGGAATTTAGGTACCACATAATAGCTAATCCTTCCACTTATAATGATAGCAAGAGACTAGAGACTTGCGATTTTTTTTTCACAAGGCAGAACCATCAGTAATTCAGTAACTCAGACACTACTTGAGGACTTATTTTCCGTACTAGCATATGCACATGAGCACCATCTGCCAAACCAGAGCATTCCCTGAAGTACTCTTTGAGACGCCTTTCATCCTGCTCTTACTCTGACAGGGTCCTCCACCTATTTGGAGAAGAGGTGTGGCAGCAGTCACATTTGTGAGACCCAACAAGAGCATAGTAAGAAACAGAATAACTGAAGAATTCAGAATTCAGCTGAATTAACTCACAAAATTAAAGCTAAGCTCTTGGAATATTTAACACTTAATAGACAAGACTCAATAGACAATGATTGTCTCAGAGTTGTGACTCGATGGGCTATTTATCATTATGGGCCTTTTCTGCTGCTATATTTTGTGCAGTACTAACAGAAACTTCTCCACTCTTCCTGGAAGGTTTGGCAAGGAGGAGACACGCATTGTAACAGAGAATCTTTAAACCTCTTTCCCCCATGTTCCAAGCTGCTGGATAGGCTGTGCCACTCTACCCACTGCTGCAAAACACTGCTCACATTTCAAAATTCAAACAAAGGTTTACAGTTCTTTTGATCTGCAAAGCAAAGCCTGAAACCCAGGAAGGAACAATGCAACGAGCGGAACAACAGAAGTGTCAACACCACTGAACTGGGCTGCACAAAATCCAGCACAGCGAGCACAGACCTGGGCCAGGCAAGTGCACAAAGCCAGGCTAGGAGAGAGCTCAGGTGATGAAAGGTGTGCTGCCACAGAGGCATGCCCTGCCCAGCCCTGTACTTCAGCCTGAGACGCCAGAGCTACCTCAGTCATCACTGCTTGGATGATCTCTGGTCATGGTGCAACACACGCACACGCTTTATCTGTCTCAGGTCTCTTCAGTTCTATACTTAATTTATTAAAAGTCCCTATGGTATATTTAGAGAAGGCTGCTGCAGGCTTTTACACTCCCATAGCAAAAGCAAGGCTCCTTGTCACATAATATACTCTTCTTTCTTTGTGAGAGAAGACAGGTACACCAGGATACACGTGCTTCTTTATAAACACAGACACAACCATCATCATCTGTGTTACAGGACTCATCTGTTAAGGTTTTGTTTCTCTACCCAACAACATTACAGAGAGCAATGTATCTGGCCTCACATTGGGATGTCTCAGGTGCACTGAGCCTGAAAAAAACAGGTATCCATTTACAGCTGGGTCTGCAAGAGTTGAGAGCAAGACACAAACACACACCTCTTGATCTGTAGCAAGACACTGTAACATTTCCCATCCTATCCAGTCAGGTACGTGTACGGAATAAAACCTGAGAGAACAACCTTGGGCCAGAAAGCAAACTGAGCTATGTTATGACTGTGACAAAACAAAGATTTAAAGATCAGTTATTGGCTTTATCCTGGAAACTATGGTTCTTTACATTTTACACCACTTGTGCATGCTAATGATACAGGATGCTGATCACACAGTGAGGTGAATTCAGGTATTACTTGGAAATTTGCTCTCTAGGTGATGTTTAATTTCTAAAAGCAGGTACATCTCTGACTTAAAATCCTATGTTTTTAAAAGAGTTTGTGCAGTAATTGCTTTTTTTTAAAGAAAGACTGACAAGTTGGTGAAAAACCTGACACACTATAATCTGCTGCTATAATTATGCAAATGCAAATTAGTAAGACTTAAGTAATGAATTATTTAAAAAGACATATTTAGCAATTTTTCTAAAAACAAAATATTGAACCAGTAAAACAGCATGTTACATTCTGCCATGGAAACAGAGCCATATATTGTTGGAACTGAAGTAATAAATCAATTAATAAATCTGTCTCAGGTTTTATGTTCTAAGCAAACCACAGAAGGCAATCTGCTTATAATGAATTCATTCTCTCTACTCCTTCACTTTAGCAATGAAGCTTTCAAAAAAAAAAAAAAAAAAAAAAAAGACAGTGGTATATATGATGTGACAGTCTAATAGCAGATGACTAAATTCAATGATCAAAAATTTCCCTTCTGAACCCATGTTACTGGTTTCTTGATCCAACTGCCTGCCCTCAAGACAGTGTCAAAGTCTCTCTGCTTGGGAAATCAAAAGGCTGGGACAAGCAAGAAATTGTGGAATTTCATTTGCATTTCAAGCTCACTGTTCTGTTTCTAGATGCTAGCATTGTTCAGGACAGCTTGCAAAAAACCCCACATCTCAAGTACATTTCCTTTTCCTCTTATCTTCCTACTTCAACACAGGAGGTTCTTTGTTCCATCTTTAGACATAATTCAAATGCAGCCAAAATATGAACAGACACTAACATACTTGGAAAGGCACCAAAAAGTGGAACAACAAATCACTGGAGGAGGCTACACCCCACATTCAGTTTAAGCTAACGGAAACTGTGGCTATCACCAAAAGCCATGGTTCAATGAGCCTCCAGTCTCTCACTCTGCCCTCCTTTCCTCCTATGCTTTTTGCTCATGCAACTATTTACAGAGCTGCACTGCAAGTCAGATTAGAACAGCAAGGTGAGGTAAAACTAACCATCTCTTTTACTGAGCTTGTTTAATGCCAGTCATTTCCCTAGCTTCAGCTGCCAGAGGAACGTCAGTCAGTTACAGCAACGAGCCTCTAATGGTGAGGCACAACTCACTGACAAGAGAAGAGCATGGTAAAATGTTAACTGCTGCCAATAGCCCAAGAAGTAAGTTCTGCCAGTCCTAGAAGCAGAGGTACACACAGCTGACGCTGGCCAGACCACACAGCTCAGCTGGGTTTACTGACTTGGACACAGCAGCTACCAGACAGAGAAGTGTCACAGAAAAGAAACACTGGAAGCCTTGGGCCAGAACAGGACAATGAAGAGGCACGTGTGAATGATGAACATGATGTGTGAATGCAACAGAGCCATGGATCCAGCTAACTCAGAACTCTGACATCACTCCTTTTCTGAAGAAAGAACCTTGGAAAATAAGCAATCAAAGCCTTCACCACTCAGTAGCTTCTGGCACATGCACCATCCTTAATGCCACAGCAGCAGCCTCCCAAGTAGCAGCACCTATGGTTGAACTGGCTACTTATGGTGGCAACAGCAGTAGTATGTTTTAAAGCACTCCTTGTCATAGGGGGTTCCTGCCATGCTCATTATGTGATGGGCAGCCTAAGCCTTGACAGCCTGAATTCAACTCCAGAATCACTTGCTGAATCTCTGTGAACTTTCATGCTCTTTGTATGGAAGAATATCATCTCCACCGATAAGCCCTAGGAGCCAAGTGCTAGCGAGTTACCCTGTACAGCCAGACTGGTTGCCTAAAACAGCTCAGGACTAAAGGTCAATAGTTAGTTAATTATGTATATTGACATTCCCATCTAATGCAATTCAGTGAGGTCACAGTGTGGCCTTCTGCACTGGTGTTTAGATAATCACAGCAACTCTGAAGGCAGCAATCCCTGGAAGACTACAGCTCTCTGTAGCATTGCCACCAGGAACATATACACATATATCTCCTCCATGTATCTGTGTATGTGTGTGCATGTATACATATGTACATATGTGTACATACATACGTGCTGCCATAGCTGGTTGTTCTCATTCTACCTCCACTCCGTGAACAGTGTGATCTGTTGGTGAAGGAACTCAGCCTTCTCTGATTACCTACTTGTAACTCCATGCTGCGCACCAAAAAAGCAAAAAACCCACGCTTCCTCAGAAAATAAAGTCATCTCTGAAGTGAGCCGTATTGAACACGTCAATGACTTGGGTATATTCCAAAAGAACGTGCTTATCTGTGATGGCACTTCTGGGTGTAGTTACTGTTGTCTCACTCCAGGCTGCATTTCAGTACTAGCAATTATACCTCATTTTAAAGAATGGGGGGGGCTCTCACATTCTAAAAAACTTAATTAAATTATTAATTGAAAGTAAAAAGTTAGAAACAACTCAACTCCAGAATTCCTCCACTGTTTGGAGGAAGTCTGAAGAAAGCAAAGAAAGGTTTTCACCCACACCTGCAAACTTCATAATTTCTACGTGCCACATGAACAGGACCAATAATGTGGCCCTAATATTTGTGCTACAGAAACATCTAGAAGTCTCAGCTAAGGACCTGGAACTAACACTCTAAGCACTACACACATTCAGTAACGTGAGCACTTCTCCTTTGGGCAGACAGAGTTAGAGAAAAAAAGCACAATTTTAAGTCTTTTACTCAGGTAGAATTGCAGCACAAGGAGATTCTGACAAATACAAATCTAGCAATAGAGCAAGGAGCCAAACACTCCACAACTCAAATTTCAACCTAGCGTTTTGACTATTGGTTCGCCTTTGTTTTCACTGTGATGAACCCATTTCAAAACTATGCTCTTCTGCTGGGCTAAAAAAAAAAAGGCAGCAGTAAAAATCCTAACAGGCAGCTGCACCTGCTGGCTAAAAGACTGATGCTAAAAGATGTCTCAAGCACCACCAGACCATTGCAGCAGTTTCTATCTGCCTTCCTTCCCCATAAGAACACAGGGAGCACAGTGATGGTTTTCTCCACTGAGTTAACTCCAACTACCACTGGTCC